ACAAAACAATCTGCCATGCCTGCCATACATAAACAAAAGAATGGGGGGGGGTGTGATATATTTCGCTCTGGATATCAAGTCTATCCCCTTGAGGAACTTCCTAGGAAGAAATGGAAAACATAGGACTAAAGTGATTAGTAAGATGCTATTCTGGATGGCACTGTGGAATTCAGGAAGGAGTAGGTCATGGAGGCTCCTCCTCAGTCCACCTGTTTCATTCAAACGTGTACCATTGCACAAACAGCATGTTCAACGTCTCATGAACAGTAACAACCACGGTGCTTCCAGCATTTTCTGAAGTTGATTTGATGAAGAGGAACAGCAGACTTAAGTTACTTGATGTCATATCATAACAGATCAAATATTCTGGCAAGCTTCCAAATGTGTTTTCTTCCTTCTCTCTCTTCCATAGTAACTGGGGAAGCAAAAACTACCAGACACTGAGCTAAGCACCAGGGAATGAGAAATGACCAACGTTCTTCAAAGAACACACTGTTTTACAGAAACGTGAGACTTCTCTCTACTCCCCACCAAAAGACTGCTACAATGCACCATGGTTAAATAAGCTGAGTAGGAAATCCAGCCACATGCCATGCTATGTTTTTTGCCTTAAGCAGAATGGAACACTGAAAAGTGCTAGACTTTCTTGGAGCTGAACAGAAGCATAGATTTGAAGGGTCAGACCTGGAAAGACCAGTGAGGAAGAGGATCTGAGCCAGGTAGTAATAAGGAGAGAGAAAAGTAGGAGACTATGTAGGAAGAAAACCAGCAGATGCTAATAGTTGCCTGATATATAGAAAGAGATTACTCAGAGTCCTAGCAGGTAGCAGGAAGATGGTGATGTCGAATGATGGAGACACAATCCATGGGAGTGCCAGGTTTGGTTAAGAAGATGCTCAATCTAATTAAGCCACTCTGGGGTTATCCACTGCCATTTTGGCAGGCTGTCCAAGTCGAAAGACATTCAAGAGGCAGGCAGACACATGAATCTGAATTCTCACCACAAGGTACTGTCTGATACATGGGTTGAAATCCACTGGAGTACAAAGAACCCTCATCAAAGATGGGCAATGAGATCACCAGCAAAGACAGAGAAGTACAGGAATACATGTGAGACTGGGGCAAACTAAGCCACAGAAAAGACAAGCTGGAAAGGAAACCCCTTCAAGAAATGGGGAAGAAATGGCCAGAGAACTATCAAGAAGAAAAGAATGGATTAAAAGGAGAAAGGAGAAAGTGTGAACATGGTAGAAGCGGACCAGGGAGTCTCATGACTCAGAAGCCAGGCATATGACAACTATTTAGAAACCTTTGTGTGTCATACACCAGTGTAGGTGGGCAAAGCACACAACAACAAAAACCATTGCTTTACAGACTGTGTTCCAGCTTATTTTCAGAAGAAGTACAGTCCATGTACTGCCATCAGTGGGTGTGAGCTAAGCACAAACTAGGAGAGTGAGCATCTAGTGACTCTCACGGCATGTGTATATGGCCAGGACACCCAAGTACAGGGCCATTTTCCTACACATTCATTTTCATTTTCATTTATGGGAAAATTGGTCTATGCCAAATTGGAAATAAACAAAACCCCCAAAAGCTATGTATTCATTCTCAAAGACCACTTTTGGGGCACTCCTTTACTAGTGACATGTGAGAAATGAGGATCTCAGAGAAAACTCTGTTGGGAAGTTTGAATGGGAAAGGGATGGGAATAACAGCTGCTAGCCAGAGAGGGATCTTTGTATTTGCCAGAATTAAATCCTGTAGGGCAAGGACAGATGGATTTCTCAAAAATTGGGATGCTAGCATTTTCCCTCAGTTTGGTGTATTTATATATTCATTTTGAGGAAAAAAACCTCACCATGATTACATTTACATGGGCATAATATATGCCCTAAGAGATACATAAATACTAAAAATCCATATATGGGCTAAATAGGATTCCTTTGTAGGCTGTGGCAGATCAATTTCAGTCAGAAGAGCAATATTATGCACTAATTCCTTTCCACCAGATACATTCCCTTCTGGTCCTAGGTGTTATCAGGAGCCAGGCATGGGAGTTTTAGGCAGACACAGGTCCTGTGTTTATCTGTCATTTCGGAAATTGGATATTTTGTTAGAAGAAAAACTAACACTAATGAAAATGTAAGTTGCCATCTACTATCCAACACCACATGCAAGTTAATTAATAGGACACACAGCCTGGAAGAAGCCTGCAATTTTCCATTTCATTTTTTTTCAGATATTAGAACTAGATAGCAAATAACATCATATAACACACATACACTCAGGCAATTTATAATTTTATGAGCAAGGGGGGAAGAATCACTACTTGGGAATCCTTAACAATCCACTTATCCTAGAGTCATAGATTGTTGGGTCCTGAGGTGACTGTACAGGTGATTACATTAACTTTCTACACCTAATGGCCAGAATCAATTCATAACATGTAGCCATGCTTTTTTTTTTTTTTTTTCTCCCCTGGAATGTGAACTCTGCCTCACAGTTACCACTTGTAAGCAAATGGTTTTATAAAAAATATTTCATCTGGAGAAATGCAAACAAATCAGGAAACTTTATATGCATGGCACATGTTCTTACCTCCTGTAGTAACTTATCTAATTTGTGCTGCAATTCAAGGAAGTATCGTGACGTGATGAGACCCTGGTGGGATTTATCCAAACAATCTCGAGCCAGCTCAATAATCTGATGGTGAGTAAAACTAAGCACTCCATCTGCCAGGGGAAGAACGTGGTCAGGAGAGTAACTGGTGATAATTTCTTTTAGACGTTCTTCCATCTGAGCTGTAGCCTGTTGAGGTGACACACACAGGTGTAACACAAGAAGACACAAACCACTCAACACTATCATTCTTCCCTTTCATTTCCACCAACCTATACAAGTTATTAAATAAAGTTCTGAAAATCTCTGCTCATGGTGACACATGCCTTTAATCCCAGCACTTGGGAGGCTGAGGCAAGTGGATCTCTGTGAGATCGAGGCCAGCCTGGTCTACATACTGAGTTCCAGGCCAGCAGGGGCTACAAAAAAAAAAAAAAGAATTCTTAAGATTAAATATGAAGGAGAACTCATTTTTAAACTTACTCTAGCTTACTGCTAGAGCACTTGACTAACATGATCAAAATCAATTTAAAGTACCACACACACCACAAATTTTAGAAAGAAAAAAACCTCTCACTTTTTCATGATATGATCATGGTGTACATAAGTCATTATACATTTGTCCAAACCCAGGGAACTGAACAACATCAAGACTGATTGCCAATGTGGACTGTGGGGGATGCTGTGTCCATGGGAGCTCATCAATTGCTGATGAATGCATCACTCTGTTGGGGATGGTGATAACAGGAGAGGCTGTGCACATACAAGGCAGGGGGAATAGAGACAATTTCTGTATCTTCCACTATGATGCTAATATTACTTTATTAAAGTACACATTCTTTAATCCTAGCACTTGGGAGGCATAGGCAGACAAATCTCTGTGAGATGGAGGCCAGCCTGGCCTACATAGAGAATCCAGGCCAGTGGGGGATACAGGGAGACCGTCTCAAAAAGATAAATAAATAAATAAATAAATAAATAAATAAATAAATAAATAATAGGAAGGAAGGCAGGAAGGAGAGGAAGGAGAGGAAGGAGAAATAAAATAAATATTTTTTAAAAAAGAAAGAAAGGAAAGAGGGAGGGAGGGAAGAAGGGAACGAAGGGAGGGAGGGAGGAAGGAAGGAAGGAAGGAAGGAAGGAAGGAAGGGGAAAGAGAAGAAGGAAAGTGGAGAGGAAGAGGTGTCACCTCATGATATGAAATGAAGACAATAAATGTTACTTAAATGAAAAGGAGCACTTTGGCTGCTTAATCCCCCTTTCCTGGGTGCCCCATCAAATGTAAGATGGTTCATGTAAGCTTCTTGAAATAACCCTTCTTGTGAAGGGTTTTGCTTTCATGTTAGATCTTGGGCTCTTTCTGATGGGTAAGCAAAATATGAAGTATTTCTTTAGTTATTATTCAAAACTTGGGATTATGCTAAAGTTCCACAGTATGAGCCACAACGTTTTCTTGGCAAGGTTTCGGCATGCTGGGAGCATATACATAGCATCTTTATCCTTTTCTCTGAAAGCTATATCTGTGCAAGAAGTAAATGGGACCCCTGGTAAGGTAGATCTAAAATTCCCTTTCCAACTTTCATTTTCTTTTCTGTTGACTGCCTGCTGGCTGATCAGTATTACTTGTTTACAGAAACTATATATACAGGGGGATTCCCTCTTTCCCTCCCCCTGATCTCCTCTAAACTCTGAACCTCATTAACTAGGCATAATCAATATCTCTTTCCCTGTTGAGCAAGTGACATGTGATAAATAGGTGATACAGCTTTAATCAATGTCATCAGTGTCAGGTTCATTACAAATAATAAGTACTTGGCTCCTGGTTTGTGAACTCAAAGGTCTCCCTTTGTTCTGATGCTTAGAGCAACAAAGGCAGTGGGTGAGGAGGATCCAGTGAAGAGGTAGCTTTTGTCCCAGTGTGCTGAGCCACTTGAGTGAGAAGGTGTGGAAGGGACTATAAAAGCTATTACTTGCAGCCCAGGGGCCTGGCAACAAGCACACAGTACACACTAGTGTAACTCAAATGCCTCCTACCAGTCCAACTGCACCTCCACTTCCAGAGCAACAGGGCTAGAAGGGCCAGGACTGAAGAGATGGGAAAGGAAAATGGGGTTTAAAAAAGAAAAACCATTTTCAGGACACAGCAAGCTACGGCTTCTGAGAGAGAAAAATCCCATGTTCTTGATGACCACACAGCAGATGTAGAACACGAGTACAAGGAGTCTGAAGGCGGTAGAGCCTTTGAGGGCAGACCCCACTACTGTACCTACCAGACGCCCCCATGTGGGGTGCCCCCCAGAAACATTCATCATACAGAATACTGTGCTCCCAGAAGTCGTTAACGTCATGTCTGTCCAGTGCTTTCTTTTTCTGAGATGACTACCATGCTGTTTAATGCAGATCATTACTGAATTGGACCCTTACTTCTTGTAACAAAATCACCTTACAGATGCTAGGTCCGTGTTGCCTGCTCACTGAGAGGCTAGGCATCTTCAATTCCATCCATTACCTTTGGGAACCTTTCTTTGTAGACATGGTTCATCATAATTATTTCATGGTCACAGCAGGCAGGAGAACGTCCAGGGCTACAAGCAAAGCAAATTACCCTTTTAAACCTGCCACAGCATGAGATGAAAATAAGCCTTTGATTTCTAAACAGTCAGTTGTATCAGAAGTACTATGCAACCCTCATATAAACAGTATTCTGTATTAGGTAGTTAATACAAAATCAGTCATTAGTGCACACCTGCACGTACATACCTGTAAACACACAGACACAATGAATGCAATTGAAAAAACAAGCCTAAGAAGAACAACGTCGCAAAATAATCACAGTCACAATACTCAGAAGACATCCTTAAATTGAGATTATATTATATATGTGGTATGAGGTTGTGTAGTTGTGGAAACCAATTAATGAACTGCAATATAAAAAACAAAACAGGGTGGCTGGTAACAGCATCTAGGACACATGTAACAGTGTAATTTCACACTTTTATCATACACCTGCGCTCTGCCACACACCAACAGAGAGAGCGGAAAGTCTTCCATGGCACAGGTGTCGTGGCAAAATCCATTTTCTACTCTAGCAAATATTTATTTGGGATGCTGAGGTAGGCATTATGCACAATAAGAAACAGCCATACATCTGTTTTGACTCTGTATTTTTGTCAGTTTGTGTCCTTCCTGGCAGGATACTTGTACAGTTTTAGGTCACCAATATTCTTGGGTGGATATAGCTTAGGCTAGATACTCCAGGAACTTCTTAAAGAAAATTAAAAGTGGTACCCCTGCAATAAACCAGTATCTCTAGATAAAGTGGAAAAGCTAGTATATTCTGTGTCTCAAAATAATCTAACATATCCCACAACTCTCCAGTGTGAGTACCTTTGGTATTAGTCTATGATAATAAATGAAGCAGAATACAGAGGAACTTCCATGTTGAACTGAACACCTTGCAAGCTGTTTTTTAAAATAATAAAACTTCAACAGATCAATGTACACCAATTCTGTAGTATTAAGATCTCATACTGTTGGTAAGGAGACATACTGCCTTGATTCCTCCTTCTATGAAAGCCCTGTTGCCAGCTACAGGGAGTCAAGTCCCAAGGTCAGGAACTTCCCAGAGTGCCAGGGCCTTCCCAGGGTATGCTGTAATACATTCAATGACTGAGAAGCTGAAGCAGGAGAATGCAGGGAGGAGCATTCAGTCTACAGGGATAACAGCCCATGGTGGGCCGAGGCTGCTGGTCCTATGCTACAGTACTGCCTAGTCCTGACTCTTTCCTTCCCTTCTACAGTGAGAATACCCACAGCATTCCTTCATAAGCATCCTGAAACAGAGACTGCCTTCTGGAGACACAACTGTGATACCTGTGACTTGAAAAACAGCAAGAAACCAGTCCTGCTCAATGTCATGAGTACTGACTGCCTTTGATGACAGCAAAACTCAGAGGACACAACATCCTAAAAATGAATTTATCATCTTGGACAAAGTAAGACACAGTGGGAAGAAAGAATAAAAAGACCGAGATGGGTTCTGATAACATAGAATCTGGGGAAAAATACCTCCCTGTTTTTGTCTTCCTTTTCCAACCAACTTTTCCCTCTTCTTATAATAATATGAACCATTCTTGCCCCATCACTAGTTGGCCTTGACCTTTCCATGGCCAGAAGTTTCTATGGGTAGTCAGTCTCTAAGATTTATACAGCAATTAGCAAGTTGTGAAAACTTAAATAATGCAAAGCCTTTCAGTGTTCATTAAAAATGTCATCTATAGATGGAAAAATCATGCTATATTTATGACAATTCACAAATAAGTGAGCACATACACGAATTAAAGGATGAATGGTCTTCAGTCAAAATGGTTGAAAACAAATCATCCACAAAGATAACGGTTTGGGCCAGATCTACAGACCTGAGGCTTCGGGAACGGGGACGCATGGGTGTGTTCCTACATCGGTTCTCAGGGGCGATGCTTTCAGTGGTGCAGAAATGTTTCGACAAGAAGTGTAATTCATCTGGTGTTGGCTGGTATGGCAACTGATGTAACTTCTCCTGGGAGGAACAGGATGACTGGAACAAACCAAAGTAAAGTTGTAAGACTATTTTCCAAAGAAATTCTGGAAATGAGTATGAGATCAAAGTACCAACCTTGGACAACACCAACATTTTATACAGGTTCTCTGGAAGCAGTCATAACTAAGAGCATAATGTGATGATGTCTCTGAGAAGTCAGCATACCTTGTGTATGTCCCCTATTTGCCTGCTGTTTCCCAAAGACAGCTTCCCTTCGGGGTAAAACCAAGATTATGAAATGGACAAGACCCAATAAAAGTCCAGACCAGAAAGCAAGTCCTGGAGTGAAACTGATAGGGACAGATTAGATCTTAGCTGAGGAGGTGGCCTAGCTGCTGCTGCTGTTCACACCAAACACTGAGACTTTTAGGTAAATAACATAATTATATGCTGTGGGACCATAAAGAACATAATGAAACCTCCCTCAATAAAAGCATGCTGACCTTTGATGCAACTGTCACCAATATGTGCCACGGACACAGGGGAAGGATGGAGCAAAAATTTTCTGAGTAATGCCACTGTTTTGAAATTTGGAATTGGAACATCTCTTTCATTTTGGGGGGGTGGGGGGAGAGGCAGGGAGTAAGAGTAGCCTTCTTTATTTAACAGATGAGGTTTTCACCCATTGCCTGTACCATATGTAGATTTACTCTTTGACAATCATCAGTCTCCATCTAGAACACAGTGGAAAATGTGAGTAGCTGAAAACAAGAGCTTCTAACAGTTTGAATTGGGGAACTGAAGAACAAAAGAACTGTTACTTTGACTTGAGTACTAAACTCAGTAATACTAATAAAAGAGACTGAGGTGTTTTTTTTTTTTTTGAATAAGTAGAAACAAGGCTAGAATAAGCATATTTTTGAAAGCTACCACTCATTCAAAAATGTCAGTTATGGCAGAATTTTTCATTCAAAAAAAAAAATCTGTCCTTATGAAAAAGCACCGTTCGTAAATGCTGAAGCACTGCAGTGCAGCACTACTGGAAATTAATGACCAGAGCCAAAAAATATCCTTACACCTTGAAATTATAAAATGCCTTACTAAGTACATACTAAGACAAAAAGAGAATTTTATAATGTAATGAGATTATTTTATAAACCATAAAAATGAGAACCCAAGAAAGACTTATGAGATAAACTAAAGCTTTATTCAGAGTCAACAGGCAATCTTAAATACTTACGCTATGAAAAAAGGAAATAAAACGCATGAACTAAATCAATTCAAAAAGTCAGGAGAAGAACCATAAAATCAATTTAAGCAGGAGAGAAACAAAGGTAATAATGGCAAAGACAAGGAAATTAACAAACAGAAAACAGGAGACTTTATACAAAAGACTGAGGGTATGGCTCAGAGGTGGAATACTTGCCTGACCTCCACTAAGCCCTGGGTTTGAGCCCCAGCACAAGGGAAAAATGATAACCAAAACCCAACAAAACCCTGCTTACCTTAACCATATTTTCACAGGTAAATCCATGTCCACATTCCTGCATCCAAGATTTCCAAACCCACAAATCTAGAGATTTGTATTTAAGTTTACAGTAATCACTCTGGGTAGCAAAGCATCAACTGAACTGCTAGAAAGTTATTTAAAATATTTATTAATCTACTTAGTGTGAATGTTGATTCAGGTTGCTATAGAAATATTAATCTGTTGAATTATGACTCGTTGGCTCAGTTGCTGCTGGGCTATTATGTACAGTAAGGGATCATGTAGCCTTTCTAACATGAAAGTCAATTTCCAAACACACTAGGCCCAGGGTTTCTCACAGTAATTAGTGGTGGTACTTGCACAGGGCTAATACCAAAGACTTCAGAGAAGGGTCCTTTGAGGAGGAAGGGGCTTTGGCAGTATTTTTAACATTTCACTTATGATACATAATAAAATCTGTTTTTCAAAATGCCTGTAGCACATGTAACAAAATGTTGACTTCAGTTAAATCTAAAGAAACTTCTGTGATTATAGCCGCTGCATCATCAGATAATGGCATAAGGAATGCATCTATTTGAGAATCGGGACTATGATAAACTGAGCAATGTAGTTGTAGTAGCAAGCACTGTCATCTTGACACTAGACAAAGTAAGAGGCAAAAAGCTTCTCTGGAGAGAGGTGCAACTCAGGGAGAAAACAAGCAGGATGTGAATGGAAATGGGCAGAGTCCAAACAACACTAGGATAACCAGCGGGTACCTGGGACAAAGGTAGAGTGGGAAAATGGACAGGGATGGGTTCAAAATGTACTAAGTAATGCCCCTGACATAGCACCTTGGACAGCGGGGAAGCAATGAAGCTCTCAGAAGAGAACTTGTAATGCCAGTGACAAGTGCTGCTGGGATAAGAGAGGGATCAGAGGGAGCCAGTGTTGCCCCCAAGGTCTCATCCTTCTGTGTGCTTTTGAGACAGTATTTTGCTGTTTTTCCTAGGCTGGCATCCTGGTTTCAAGGGATCCTTCTGCCTCAGCCTCCCAAGCAGCCAGGACTACAAACATGTACCACCAAGCCTGGCTCTCATACACTCATTGAAAAGATACCTCTGTTGACCAATGCATACTTGAGATAGTACTTGTAGAAGAATGTCAAAAGTTGGTTTGAGAGATTTGCAATAAATTAAGTCTTACTATTTCCCATTTCTCCAAGTGTGGTATGAATGAGTCTCATTACCCAACTAGTTTGCATATGACTTCTGACTATACCATAAATCAAATCCACTTTCAAAGAATGAAGATTTACATCAAAAACTGTGCTGCTAGTTTGCCAAGCAATTAGAGCTCAAACGCATGTTCTGAGCAATGATACGATTCAAATAAACATTTTGCCTCTCAAGAAGGCTAAGGATTTTTCAAAGGATAGGGTTTATATGCATGCATAAGTTCCTACTTGTTATTTATTAAAAGTAATATGATTTAATAGTCATACCTCACATTTATGGGTATTTATATTCTTATTTCCATTCTTCCCCTCAGTGGAAAATAATTTATCTGGTGAGAAATATATAGAGGAATATCGTCCTACCACCACAATTCCATATTACTTATTTCAAAATTAAAAATTATGATGTGAATATTATCTTGGAAAAGTGCCACAAATTAATTTTAACCACAAAACTTTGACACTAAAAGAAGTTGCAATATTAAATATTCTCTGGGAAAACTGATTAACTTCATATGACAAACTCTTTCCAATTTCAGAACATTGCATTTTTGACATTTGGCAAATCCACAGTCTCTTTAATAGCCAGAAGATAAAGATAAAATAACGTTTACATTTCAGCATGAGTGGGTCTGGAGTCTAGCTAACAACACAATTATTTGTAAAACTTAAACTGTGATAGTGCAGAATGCTTATAGCCTTATCTGTAAATATTCTAGATTTTTCTTTAAAAGTAAAGTGATTTTTTGGATTGGCTAAATGACTAAAGTTGATAAGCATTCTAAGAGTAATTCAGATAACTGCAAATACATCCAAATATTTAAAGGACAGGATTGAGAAACTGAGGAGCTTCAGCTTTTATAGTTCTCATTTGCCCCCTTCAACAACAACCAAGGAGAAAAGATGGCAGACCTTCCATGCAACAGTGCCTACGGTCCACAGATTCAACAGTTCCTTACACCTTTCGGCGAAAAGCGCAATGATGAAAGTAGAAATTTCATTTTGAAGGGAAAAACTAGGAATATTGAGATATATAACTGCATACCACCTTTTAAGATAAATAGGTTAGAGAAAAGCTGTTGAAAATACTGTGTGTGTGTGTGTGTGTGTGTGTGTGTGTGTGTGTGTCCAAAAATAGGCATCAGAAGGTTTCTTGTTTTAGGCACATGTATGCTGTAGAGACAGTAGTCTCTAGTAGATTACCCATGAGGCTTAAGAAATGTCACTCACATGCCCTAAAAAGAGACATGACATTAGGGTCTAAACTACTTGCTGTGTTCATAGATAAAATAAAGGGGTTGATAAATAGATCTAAAACTAATTTTCTGTGCCTCAGGTTTTCTGATCCATAAGATGAGAGAAACAAAAGCTGCAATACCATAGGTATACTGCCAGGATTCAATGAGTCCACGCATTTAAAGGAGCTAGATTAGCACTGCCTCATAATAAGTACTTCGAAAAACACTATTTCAAAATTATTCATACATAACGTTGTAAGTCAATGTACACATCCCTGATACATTCACTTTTATAGAAAATGATGTATGATTTATAGAAGGAAGGTACATCTTGAACTTTCTTTTTTTCTTTTTTTTCTTTTTTCTATTTTTCTTTTAAAAGAGAGATCTATCATCTGAACTGTCATAAACCTTGACTGAAGGCAATGCAAGGTGATACAGTAGAAATAAAGGAATTTGCAGTCCAAAGCCATGAATTTTAGTTTTCAGTTTGGAGAAGTTAAAAGAGAATATGTACAGGAGAGGCACAGAGTAAAGAACCAGTACTCGATTTATTCATGGCTGGGCTCTAATTAAAGACACCCAAGGGTCTGGGGAGAAACAACACTTACAACTTTTGAAATTGCTCTATTTTGGATCAATTTTAGCATTCATTTTTGCACTCTGGTCCCACATTTTCCACATCTAAAATTGCCAATGATGGCCGCTGCCATAATAACCAAGGAGAACCTTGCTGGCATTTACAAACAATTTTATCCACTGCTATGATCCAGGATTTCACTGATATGAAGCTAGTGTTACCACTGAAACTACTCACGACTGTTAGGAATGCTCTCAAAAATGATCCAAATGGGCAGTAAACTCACCTAGCACAACAAAGAGGATGCTCAGACAGGAAAATACATGACCTCTTTGCAATGCATGACTCTACAGAGATGGTAAAGATGACCCAGCCAATGTTAACAAAGTTTGGTTTTAGAGGTGCCCCAGAAAACCCACATTACATTTGGGAGTCTGGGAACACAAAATGTAAGACAGTGATGATAATATAGTTATTTGAACTAACACACTGCAGTTTCTTATCAATTCAGGTATTATTCAGGGGCTGTATCTGCATGCTTAGCACAATGTGTGGGCTGTTAAAAGTACAGTGGACAGTGATTAACACTGAAACCCACAACTGACCAAATGTGTAGAGAATGAGTACAGAATGACCATCCCTGAATAAGACACCTATATCAAACTTCTGCCCCCTAAGACTCAGGGATCATTGCTGAACAGGTAGCAGAAGATTGTAAAAGCTAGAGGTGGTGGATGAGCACAGGAACCAGTTTTCTAGACAGCTGGTCAGTTACTCATATGAACTCACAGCAATGGTGACAGCATGCATAAGTCCTATGCAAGCTCAAACCAGACAAAATTCCAGAATAGATGTGGGGAAGTGGGGAAGAAACCCCAACCCTACCTGAGGAACTATTGAAAAGTGATGGAAACTGGGAAGGGGAAAATCGGTCTCCTTTAAGGGTGAGACTCCTAGTAGGTTGACCAGGCTCCAGTGGATGGACCCCCACAGGATATTTGAAGACACAAATTTGATTCTCTCTCTCTCTCTCTCTCTCTCTCTCTCTCTCTCTCTCTATATATATATTAAAGTACATGAAATTGGGTGGGAGGGTAGTAAGTGGGGGGTCCAGATAGAGAGGGAATCTAAATATTACCAAACAATATTGTATGAAAGCAATAAAAATTCAATTTAAAAAAGGAAAAAAAAGATATATACATAAAATTTAGCTAGTAAGTCAAGTGAGGATAAATTATGGCTATGTAAAAATTATAAGAACTAAAATTCTACAATGGTCCTTATTTAAAAAATAATTTAAAAATACATGTTCAGAAAAGCAAAAGCCCACAATGAACCAGCAATCCCCAGCAATAAACCAGGAATTTTGACAAAATGAGGAGGGAACTGAATCAGAAAGAGTACTACAGTCACAAGTCCACATTCTGAGCTCCTATTGAGCCAGCAAGTACCTCATTAGGCATTCATTGAATCCCTGTGACCTCCTGGGCCTTTCTAAATGACCACCTGGTTTCCAAGCCCTGTGGTTACAGACACTCCATGGTCCCACTACCTTGGGCCAGGAATGCTTGTATCTAATCTACCGAACACTATCCAGTAATTGCTAGGCCTCTAGTTGAAATGTTATCGTTTGAGGCAAGAATCTCCTTATTCCTCTATCATTTCCACAGATTTACTAAGGTCTTTACCTGTCTTTTTAAAAGTTGCTACCTAGAAGGCACAGACAAATTTTGGTCCTTTGAAGGAGAGAGAAAAGAAAACAAGCTTCTATCCAAACCACACAAGCAAGAAGATCAAGTCCATCAAAGATTAATGGCATTTTCAGCACAAATATCACTGGCATGGAACTAAAGCATTAAAACCAGATTGTGTTTTTCCCCAAAACTACACCAAATGGTCTTAAAATGAAAGCTCCCATTTGCCTCCAAACTTGTGATCCTGGGCCTTAGACAACAGTATGCCCCATAGTTTAGAAGCTTGCCACGACTGCGTGCCCTTTTTATGTTGGCTAGGCCATCATTTGACATGTCAGAGTGGCAGACATGAGGAATTTATCTTCTCCTTCCTACCAGGAAACACCCAGGGGAAACACAGACTGCAGATTAGCTCAGCAGTTGAGAGAAGAGAAAAACTCAGGCACTTACAGAGACTGTGCTGCTGGGTGTGTTTGTCCCATAGCCTGAGGAGGGAAGAGAGGCCAAAGACCAGCGGCGTCCATCCGTCCTGTGGACAAAGGGAGTTTGGTTAAGCCAGCTGTAGAGTACTGATACCGAGGAACCCCAGAGAACCCAAGGGACCTGGAGTATTTTTAGTCAAACAAATGACATAAACATAGTCTATGAGGGTGTGGGAATGCTCAGGGTAAACAAACATTATACAGAAGGTTGACTTTTATTTAAACTCAATCAATACACCCAAACAAGTAGAAAGTGAATGGGTTGATCCATAGTATTGATCTCTCACTAATACGCTTTGACAAAATGAATGCAGGGGGATAATTACAGTGGTCAGACTCAGCAGATTCAAAGGAATGCAAGCAGAAAGGAGGGAGGGAAAACATTCTATGTGGGAACTGATAACAGGTCGATGATCTTCACAAGGATCTGGACTCCAGCAGGGGCCAGAGCCTAGAGGAGGCACAAGGCTGCCTAAAGGCTTTCTACCTCCTATTTCCAAGGAACAGTTCTATTCATCACACAGGGATGGCGGATGCAGTAGGCTCCTGCTTACTTCACATTGAAGTGGCAAATAACTTTAGCAGTAAGAAAGTGACTATTGGAAGCTCAGGCTCTGGGAAGTTATTGCTTTCTGACATGACCTGGCTTCATAAAGTATTGGAGCAAAGGCCATCTGAAGAGTTTCTGAGCACACAGCAGGCTCTGGCCAGTCACCATAAGGGCAGAAGGAACGATTCTCGACTCATAATAGAAGTTAACAAAAAGAGTGAGTCTCCTGCACTGGTCTTAGAGACCTGCTGTCAGGGACCTTAAAGAAAATGGTTTTCATCCTCAAATGGTGATTGAATGGTGGCTTTATGAGTTGGACTGTGGTATGAATCAGGTCACTCCAAGGGTCTAAGATGAGTTAATGTAGCAGCCACGAGTGGCAATACTGCTGTGATGTCAAGGGGTCACCTCAGAGGAAATTTCTAGGGGTTTCTGGTATTCCAGAGCTTTATTAGAAATTTCAAAGCAAAGGCAGGCAGATCTTTGTGAGTTCAAGGCCAGCCTGGTCTACATAGTGAGTTCCAGGACAGCTAGGGCTACAGGGTAACCCTGTCTCAAAAAAGACCAAAAAAAAAAAAAATCATAAACATTGCCAAAACAAACACACGTAAATTTGCCAAGGGACAAAACAGGAAACACACTTTATTAAAAAGCAGTATTATATTCTTAGATACAGTATCATATATAGGCTTTCTGTAATTTATGATTATATTAATTTAACAAGTGAGAGACAACCACAGACAAAGTTTAACAGAGACACATTCACAGTAAGCTGAAGTTGAGGTCAGGAAATTCAAAAACATTAGACTTGAATTTGAGAAACCACAATCAGATGTTGATGTGGAAAACTGCTATTATAGCCGGACAGTCAAGAAAAATATTACTATAGGCTACCGTGGATGTTACCTCCAAAAATGTACATGGTCCACAAAGACAAGATGGAAAAAATTGAGTGGACAAATCACAGAACGACTACAACACTAAGATTTTAGTGAAATTTACCTGTCATTTCTGTGACCACGATTGAAGTACAATTGAATTAAGTATTTAAAAAGAAAAAGAGGAAGCAAAATGTTTATAAACATACCAGAGAAAAGGAACCAAAACTAGATCATATCTAAATATTTTTACATAAATGAAAATATTTATCAAGAAAATAATCATAATACACTTGTAAAATAACAATCAGTTAAACAATTGTATTTTATTTGGCTGTTTATTAAAGTCTTTAAAACCAATACCTGAAATTTATATTTTAACCACTTCCAATTTGGAAAAGAAAAGGATATGATTTTAAGAGAATTATTCAGTCCATTTAATAGCAATTATCAGAAACTAGTCTCTGGAAGGAGTGAGGGACACAATTTCCCCTACCGTGATTTTGTTTTGTGATTCATTAACTCTCCTTTCCCTCAGGTATAAACGGACATATTTCAGATGGATGAACAGTTCCAAGAGGAGACAAGTTCTTATTAGTTCTGAAGCATAAATTACGTTTGCTTAGTCCAGAAAACACATAACTAGAAAGATGTTTATACAAGAATGTGCTCAATACTCAGCACAGCCATCAACCAGAAATAATTCATGTCTCATAAAGTTCCCTAAGTTGTCTATGTCTATTTACTCAAATGGAACAAAAGAACCATTGTACTTTCATTACCATGACAACCACACATCAAACGTTACTATATATGCTATATGTAGTACTTAAGGGAGAATCTGCGATTTTTCTGAGGAGGCTATCACACTAGTTCAGTTTGGATCTGACCAACGATGTGCAGTAGCTACCAATAAAATGTTACCTGAAGACAACACCACATTCTTCCCAAAGCAGCAAAGCTTTTTTGAAAAGATTCTTCCTTGTGGGTGGAAATCTCAATGTCACATTAAGTAAAAAGTAGGAGGGGAACATCTGATGGGAACATGGGACACAAAGAGATTGGCCAACACACACACACACACACACACAACTCACAAAAATCTAGATTCATGTAGTATACAACAAGGAAAGAATGAAAAGATGTGATTTGGATTCCAACCTGGCTATTTTAACTGCATTAAGAGGAAGCAGGTTGATTCCTTTAATAATTATGGTCACTTGGAGCAATACATCACATACTCCAGTTCATGTTGGTACAAAATGAACCACAACAATATAATGTAACCAACTAAAATCAACTCCAGAAAGAATTACAAGACTAAACTAGGAGGTTGCCCTGGTCAACAGGCTTCAAGGGTCTACTTTATCTAGTAGTTTGCTTATTGACATAAATTTTGCAATTTAACCAGACAAATAACACTTAGGCAACTAGGAGAGGCTGAAGGCATTGACTGAAGGACTAGATTTCCAATGAAAGCAAAAGCAATTTGTAATACACAAACTTCCCAGTTTCTGGAAAAGGTAGGACATTATTGCTCCATATTAACCATCAAGGGAAAATGTTAAATAATCCACAATTAGATGGACTATGGATCACACAGATTGAGTAATCTTCATTCAAAGTTCTTGGGACCAGAAATATTTTAGATTTGGACCTTTTAATATTTTTTGGACTTTTTAGAAATATTTACAGAACCAATTGGTGAACATACTTAATCATAAGTATGAAACTTCTTTGCACATCTTGTTGCAGCTCAGAATGTTTCAGTGGTGCTCAAAATGTTTCAGATTTGGGGGCTGATAAGATGACAAAAGTATTTTCCATGCAAGCCTGATGACCTAAGTTTGATCCCTGGAACCCATACATGCGGTGGCACGAATGCATTTGCGTGTGCATGTGCGTGCGCGCGCGCGCACACACACACACACACACACACAAATAGTAAAAAATTTTAACCAAAACGTTTCAGATTTTGGAGTAGTCTGGATTTCAGATTAGGTATTATATGTACTGCAATGAGTGCTATGATAATGTTTCCTAGCTCCAAATAAAATGTAACACTGCAATATCCATTTCCCCCCTTTTTTATAAACTCAATATGTAAAAACTAACTTGATAATTTTACTCTTAAATCTGAATTATAAAATATGGTGTGTGTTGTCATACTTTATAGTCTATAATTGGACTATTATGTTACTGAGGTGTAACAGGAGATTTTTATCACACTGAACAAGTGAGGTCAGAGAAGATTAATAAGTCTGACCTTTGTGTCTTCACTCCAGAATGATTTCAAAGATATGGCAACAGTTCCTCTATTGGGCTAAATTTATAGAGCAATAAGATGTGAAGATCTCAAGCTGGCATTGCTTCTTAAAGACTGAGAAACACACAGTAAATGGAAGGTAATGGCGAGCTGGCAGGGGCTCCACATTTCCTGAAGAAAAATCAGTTCTAAAATGGGAGGAATTAGCAGAGGCTAGATAGAAAATGCCAATTTAGGGCTGGAGAGATGACTCAGCAGTTAAGAGCACTAGCTGTTCTTGCAGAGAACACAGATTTGATTCCCAGCACCCACCTGCAGCTAACAGCTGTCTGTAACACCAGTTCTGGGGGAATCTGATGCCTTCTTCTGACTGCCAAAGTTACACGCAGGCAATACACTCATATATATCTCTCTCTGTGTGTGTGTGTGTGTGCGCACGCGTGTGTGTGTATGTGTGTGTGTGTGTGTGTGTGTATATATATATATATAAAATAAAAATTTTTAAAAATTTAAAGAAAATGCCAATTTGATTTTCATAAGGAACACAAGATACTATTTACCTGAATAACAGTTTAGGATGATGATCATTCATGCCCTAATCAAAATTAATACTTTTTGAACAGTGTGGAGGGAGTTCCAGCTGGAAGTTCATGCGAAATAAACCAGAGGTCTCCTGTGATAATCTCTTGTCACGGTTTATGGTTTATTTGTCAAAGATTAACATGCTTGGAGGGTTGTGTATTTTTTATAGCACAGAAACCAGATTCATCTGTCCTTCAGTCTTCCACTTAATTATTAGATTCTCTTCATTTTAATAAATCTGGCAGGATTAAAAGACTGTGATTTCTGCTATGTTTTAATGCATGCTGTAACGAGATTTGCATCTCCTTATTATTTGGGGTAATTAAACATACCCCTCCCCCTTTAAGAGATGTAGTTTAAAGATTACAGGGGGGGCTTGTTTATTAACTTTTATAGGATTTTCCCCCTTTGGAATAGTGAGCCATCATGAATTAATATTCACTGGACAAATGTTCTAGGGCAGGTTAGGCTCTGCAATGCTTTTGTAGTATAACAGTTAAAAGAAATTCTAAAGGAAAAAAAGTTGGGACTTGGGAAGACCCAGGTGTAGGTCTCAGCAAGCTCCTTGAGGAGGAGTCTTCATCCCACTCATACCCTCCCCACAGTGGGATATGCAGAGATCTTGAGCATATGATGGAAATGTCTACAGGAATGAAAGAACAAACATTTCTTCGTGGCTTGGGACTTACAGTGGAATCTTAATCATACAGAATTCTGAAAATTCTGCTGGAATCTTAATTATACATAATTCTAAAAATCCTTTTCTCCTGGATTTCATAATATAAAATGTATCACATGCTGACGTGTGCAGGAGAATCTTATCACACTGAACAACTGATAAGATTCTGCTCATTGGTGTGTTGAAGAACAAATACATTTATAACATACTTCTGTAACTTTTTAAATTTCATTTTAAATTCACTTTGGGATACAGTTAGATCTCAGAGAAATTCTTAACAAATAAATGGAACATCCAGACCATAAACTAAATTTATTCTGAATATTTAGAGACCTGAATAGACAGGTTGCATTTCATTTTTTCCCAAGTGGAGGAGGCAAGGTATCTATGTGAGAGCAGTGAATGTGGGGTGGAGACCAGAATCTGACTGGAGGAAGCACATTGATTTAGAACACACAAGAGATGTCTGGGGCCACAGCAGGAAACCAGCTCTGAAGAGCTTAGATATTAGAGACCACTTCCTCTTGACTCAGTTCCCCAAAGGCAGAGGCGTGGTACCCAACTTTAAGTATGACATTAATAGAAAGAGAACACAGAAATATCCTAGTAGTCCAAGCATTGCTTTTTTTCAGATCTGTCACTCAATTGTTGGCTTAATGCTCCCAAATAGAGAGGCCTCTCCAAATTCATACCTTGTAATCCAAAGTCTCATTTTTGTAACATGCAACGAAAGTTTGCACTAGGACACAGATATATTAAAGCCTCTAGAACATTAGCTCAGAAAATTTAGTAAAACCTGTTGAGGATGAAGCATGTATAGGCATATTGTACAGATGGGAGAAAACAGAGAGAGGTCACATTCCTGCCCTCACAGGGACTCGGCATCTAGCAATGGATCAAGAGAGATCGTCTAACTCTTAATATAATGTAAAAATCATCATTAAATCTGTTAAAGAGGGTATGTTCTAGTAAAATCCTCTGGCCAGGAGCTTTGGAGAAGGTCTTATGTAATAATGAACAGGGTTTCACAGGCCAAAGGCTGGAAGAGTGAGACTTAGAGCAGTGGGAAGGGGGCTGTGAAATGGGATTCCCTGTGAAACACTTTATGGCTCCATTCATGAGCAGTCCTTACCTCCGTGCAAATGAAAAATGGGCTGAGGCACTGGGGGAGAAATTTCTTGGACTATCTTGAGGGCTATTTCCTAGGGAGAGAAAAAGAGAAATGAACAGCATAATTTTGTTTTTGTACCATTATCCACATCCAGAATCTTCTCAGTAATCCATTTCTTTACACCTCTGCAAAATGTCATTTCCTCTAATAATGTTTTAGTTTTGCCTGGAGCAGGGATCTGGGAAGCAGGGGATAAATACCGAGTTCCAGCACAGTTTTACAAGTGGGGAAGACATATGAATACACACATTCACCCCTATCACCATGCCACAGTCCTCCAGATATTTAATAACCTAAGCATTTCAGTCTGTACAATAATGACTCATAAATGTCTTGGTTTAATCCTCACGATATGACATTTCAGTAAACAGGATGGATAAGCACAGGCCTCCATGGGGGGGCTTTTTGGGGGGGAGGGAGGCAGCCTTAGTAAAAAGCCTATGTTCTTAAAAATAAATGCTTGTATTCCAAAATGCACATTTAAAAGATGGATGTGTCAGAACTAGTCATAAAATACAACGGTGAATCCAGCCATCTGGGTCTAGTTCTAAAATGTCCCAGGCTTAGCATCACTGGAAGACCCAGCAGTATTACCCCTTGTCAATATTTTCTTCAACAATCTCTGTGTCTCTAAGCAGCTGGAATGTGACCGGGCAGGCTGATTCTAAAAGCCATGGCCACATGGAGATGGCAGCACGTGTCTCTTCACTGTCCTTCCAAGGCAGAGAAGAGGGCTGATTGCTCACTGGAAGGAGGGCAGCTCCCACGGGGCTTGTTACTTTCTCCATTAGCCCACTCAACCTGCTGCTGATCATTGACAAAGCTTGGCAGGCAGCTGGCGAGGGCAAGTTCAGGACACTCCAGACCATGCTGCTTCCCTCTGCATGTTTAATTAGAGTCTCAGAATTGTCTGAGGACAACTTGGGACTGTAGCTGGTTTTAGTAAGGAGGTGAGAAAAGGCTGCAAAGTGTCCTATACTTTCATGAAAACTGGAAAACAGATCAGGAAGATATATTTCATCCCTGACAGCAAACCAGTTGCCACATCATTGGCTCCTTACTTAAAGTGACCCCTGTAACCAGGTCTGAGGAATGCAAGCTTCCACTTTTAAGGCACACTTGGCTGTAAAGGTAAACAATTTATTATTAGTGTGTAGAAAGAACAGACTAATACATCAAGGAGGGTAAGTTTAGTGTTACCTTGAGAACTTCTAGACAGCCTAACATCTTCACTGAAATTTTTCAATTAACTTAAGGCTGCAAATTTTATAGTGTTGTCTTTAACAGATGCTATTAACTTTATGACAGCACAATCAAAGCCATTCAACAGGGAAGCCATGAGAAGCGGTTTCTTTATAAAGAGAACCAAGGAGCATTTCCTCTGCTGCAATGAAATTTATCATGCCTTTGCATCTGGTGTTCCCTGGACGCCTGGAGAATAGATTTTGCTTTTGCCATCCAATAATCCAGGATTCATTTTGTCTGTTTATCTACACAGCAAAATTAAGTTATTTTTTCACTTCTCTCAATAGCCTTTATTCTCCCACACTTAACTTAGGTTGTTTATGACTCTTTACATTCCTTAAAAGCTCTTGATAATTTCAAGATGGCTAAAAACCTTTGTTTCTAAAGGGGATAATAGAATGCTTGAAATCATTGTATGGATTATTTTTTTTAATTTGGGAAAAATAATCACTTTGCTTGCAAGAGGACAAACTGCCGGTAAATTATTAGTTGCAACAAAAACAACCACTTACTTGAAGCCAAGACATTCTGAAAACAGTCTTTGCTGCCTCATTCATAAGAATGAAATAAGACCAAGGACACCTGGCTCGGTTCCTAGCCTGCATGCTACGTACAGAAAGCACTAAATCAGGAGATTCTTTAGAGAATTTAATGACTGATCTCTGTGAAGCCAGGTAGCATTTTATAAAACTGTATATTTACAAACTATATTTTACAAATACATATTTAAGAATGAAATGTGGTACTTTGAATAAGAATGTCCCCCATAGGCGCCAAGTATTTGGACATTTTATCCCATTTGTGGTACCATTTGGAGAGGCTTTGGAGGTGTGGCCTTGCTAGAGGAAGTGGGTCACAGGGGGCAGGCTTTGAGAGTTCTTAAGCCTTGCAGGATGTCTAGTCACTCTCTGCTTCCTGTGCCTGCTTGAAGATGTGAGCACTTAACTTTCTGCTCTTGCTCTCACCACCTCACCTTGCCTCCCACCATGATGGACTCTAATCCCTCTGGAACTGTAAGCTCAAATAAACCCTTCTTCCTATAAGTTTCCTTGGTCATGATGTTTTATCACAACAACAGAAAAGTAACTAATACACACATATATATTTACAAATACATATATATATATATATAGACACACATACATATACATACACACACACATACACACACACACACATTAAGACAGGGTCTCCCTGTAGCCCCAATTGTCCTGGAACTCCCTATGTAGACAGAGCTGGCCCTGATCTCACAGAAATCTGCCTGCTTCTGCCTCCTGAGTGCTGGGATCAAAGGCATGCACCACCACACCCAGAAAATTGTTATATATTTTATAATGTATGGTGACCTTTTACCTTGAGAATAAATGGACACAGATACATAGAGGAAGGCAGATTTAACTCTGCTCTTAAAAAGAAATCAGGGCTGCCATCAATCATCCCCAGAGTTTGTCCTCACATACTGGGCTGCCGTTTCAGGTACATCAATTGAACATTTTCCTGATTTTCTTCTCATTTGCTCCTTTACTGTTATGAAACTAAACCCTGGATTCTTAGATCTCCCATCCCAAGACTACAGAGCCATCTGCATATTTTAAAGACTGCAGATTTTTCTTCTTTTCATGTAGGCTGAAAAACACAGCTGAAATGTACACAGGCATAACATACAGAGTCATGTGTTGCTTAAGTAGAATATTCCGAGAGGTGTTGTTGGGCATTCTTGTCAATGTGTGGACGTCACAGAGTGAACTTCAACAGACTAAAATGACAACAATGTCAGCAGGTGATGTAATGCTGTGGAACTGCAGCTGCATATGTGGTCTATGTTTTGACAGCAGTGTCAACAAGGTTTGCTAAAATAATGGGACTGTGTGGAAAGAAGGGGGGATGCTGCTGTGTGCTGCTGTTATGACTGTCTTATCACTAGAGATCTCGGAAACATCATAATGTCTCAGAGACAATGATGGGAGTGGAGGTAGGGCTATGATAGCTGAGGCTTCCTAAAGTACAGAGACAGTGACTCAGTCAGAAGGCAGTTCAGTAAGCTTAGGTAAGAGGAGAAATAGGAGGAGACTTCAGGGCATGTCAGAAAACAGCTCAAACATTAAGGCAGTATCAGGGACTAGCTCTCCAGCTGAAGCACATGCTGACTGGCAAAGCACCTGTGAACTATGTTTACTAACTAGTGGGAGGCCTTACAGATGTTTGGATGCACCAGAGGAGATAGGGCTGGACCAACTTATACAAGATCAAGAGAAAGAATACTCTAGTGGGCAAACCAAGCCTGATTGGTGATGTGTTAGAGATGAAAAAGAGAATCCAGGAAGGGTAGACTGGCAGAACAACATGGTTAGCCCACTGCTAGGGAATCCTGAAAGGTAAGTGGGGTTGTGGTGGTAACAGATGAAAAGTGTAAATGAGCATTGTACAGACATGTGTCATGTGTTGAAGAAAATTCAATTTTCCTTAAGAAAATTTAAGATTATCAGATTAGATATGTAGAAGTCAACCTTGAAGGTCTTTGTTCTTATTTGAAATAAAAATTGATTTCTATTTGGTCTGTCAGGGTTTCACAGCACTGCACTGTTTTGTGATACAATGCCCACAATGCTGCTAATTTAGGACAGATCAGTTAGAATTCACACCGTCTATGTTCTTAACTCAGAGACGAAGTCCTGATGGTTAAACATGCACAGTGCTTCCTGCAAAGAGAGAGGGAGATGGATTGAAACTGGAGTCCTACACATGACCTTCACTCCTCACAGCGCTGCTCTCTGTATTCATCCACCCATCTGCAAAGCAATACCTGAGAGACTCTCAAATGGAAACTGGTGCCAGTTCATTCTCTGCCCATATGTGCAGCACTTGCTTGTAACTCAGCCTGCTGCTCCAGGGATTTGCTGGCTTTTGGATGTTTGAGTGCTCAGACACTTTATGGACTGCCAGTATGGCTGCTGATGGCTCTGACCCGCTAAAGTAAGCCTCGGTGGTGGTCAAGCATCAGGCAGGTAATTAACACCAAGATCCCCACGGGGCAGAGGCACAGCTAAGCCGGCTAAGATGCAAGTGGTGTATGGAAGCCAAGCTTTACCTAACGGCGCTACACAGGGTGCCTCATTTTAGAGGCTGTTATTGTGAAGAAAGCGATTTCCAGATTAATTAAATTGTTTGATTGCTTTGTAATTAGGTTGGAGAAGTCCTGTGTCTTCACCACAGAGAAGCAAGCTGCAAATCTTCTTAAAAGGCATATGCTTTACCCACTATAGATTATTAATGTGCTTTTAATAGCTATCTGTTCACAAAATGACAGTTTCTGTTGCCTCAATTTTCTATCAGGGCAGGGGGAATCCAAGAACTAATGATCACTGCTATTTGAAACTCCTAGCGGATCAAAGAGTAAGCCCCCATTTGAATCCTCAGTCTCATTACTTGATGATCCCCTTAAATGAGCTGTGACGTTTCGCACAGTTACAATGAGTGTAATGTTTCTTAAGGCTTTGTAGATCTTCAGCAACACGTGGCCACTGCCTCAAAGCTTTACGACCAAATTGCACAAAGCTAAATCTAGGCTCTCCTTGCAAGATGAACACCACTGGAAGACTTACTTGGGCACCTCTAGCAGAATAAACTTTATGAAATCATAGTTGAAATCACCAGTGAACTAGTGGATCCCACTGGACCCTAACAGGTGATGTGTGAAGGAAAGTCAGAGATCTTCCTGTCACTTAGACACCTGTCTCAGAAACTGGCTCCTCTCCAGATATAATTGTAGAATATTAATTAAACCCG